CTTCCTATATTTAACTTTTTCTTATTTTCACATATAATAAAGTAGTCTTATAAATATACAAAATGATACAAAAACAAAAAGTTTTGATCGTTTACTAAGAGAGAAAAAATACTTTTTATGGATTTTTGGCTCAAACCTTTACTTTGTCTGGAAGCGTTTAAAAGCTAACATAATTCTAGTTTGTTTGAAAAATCATATTTATTTGATATATTTTGAAAGCTTATTCCCTCATTATTAATCTAACTTACATTTGAAAATTTCTCCAAGTCTTCGATTGTGTAAAAATTATAACTAAATTCGTTGTTCTATTATAATTTTGAGAGGCAGAAAAGAAGATATTTTCGTACGCCACCATTCCGCCAAAAATATAGTAACTGCTGGTTTTCAAACGCAGTTTACCATTTCTTTTTAAAGTTGTACAATTGTGATGAGGAAAGAAAAATATGGTCTTTTAAATGATTTACACCTCAATATATAAGACATATAAGCAAATTTACTTTGAATGTTTCATCTAGTTAGAAACCAGAGAAGAATCCTACCTTAAGGTAGGATTCTTCTCTGGTAATAAATAATAATAAATTCTTTTATTTAGACAGGATAGCACAATTAGTACATATGACTAGTTTACATTGTGGTCCTGTATAAAACATACTTACAGAGTAAAAAATAATATATACATAGCATATTATATCAGACAGTCATATTTGTACATACTGATAAATAAACTACTAGTATTAAATATTGTGCCATACGATAAAATTCATTTGAGAACAACTTCTTCACCTGTTTAAATTATAATTTTGCAAATATGCAGATTTAAAAGAAGCTAAAGAATTACAGTTTCTGGTTCCATAAAACTGCAGATGAAACATTAAAAGATCGTTTATAATACTCTGTTCGTGCTTTTGGAATGTATAAAAGGCCACTAACACTACTCCTTGTTGCCCTAGAGCTAACCTGGCTAACATATCTAAAAACATGCAAATATTCTGGTGTCAAACTTTTCATAACTTTCAAAGCAAGGACAAGTTTTCTATATATAAAATAATTATGTATAGGCATCCATTTAAGAGCACTAAAAATGTCAACAGTAGGGGGGTTTGAATATCTTTCACATTCATGATAATTCTAGCGGCCCTTTTCTGTAATCTAAAAATTCTATCAATAAAACTCTTGTTTTTGGCTGAACACCAAACAGTGCAACAATAGTTAAAATGAGGAAAAATAACAGTGTTATAAACTTTTAACAATGCTGCCTTTGACATAAAATTTTGAAGACGGCGTAAAATTCCTATTTTTGTGAAAGCTTATTACATAAAAATTCAATTTGTACAGACCAGGTTAAACATTCATCTATATGTACACCAAGTAGTTTGGCACTTTTAACAGTCTCTAATATAACATCACCTACTTTGATACACAATTTTCTACATTTTGAGAGCTTTTGTGCAGTACCAATCAACATGCATTGCGTTTTCTTTAAGTTCATCGTAAACTTATTACTTTCCATCCATTTCATAGAGTTTAAAAGATCATCATGCAACCTTTCTTCAATAACATCAATAGATTTATGTGACACATCCTGTGACGTATCATCTGCATAAATATTGACATTTGAGTGCTTCAGACATTCTGGATAATCATTTACAAACAAAATGAAAAACAAAGGCTCCAATATAGATCCCTGTGGCACTCCTATTGTAACATCTTTTTCATCAGATAAGACACTTTTCCATCTAACACATTGTGATCTTCCACTAAGATAAGACTGAAACCAGTTAAAAGATCTTTGACATATGCCATATGACAAAAGTTTGTGCAACAATACTGCATGATTTACAGTGTCAAAAGCTTTACTAAGATCAATAAAATGGCTTCTGACTAAATGGAATAATCAATGTACATTTGTTGATATTTCTTATATATTTAAATGTAAGAGATTTAAAAGACCATATTTTTCTTTTCTCATCACAAGTATACAACTTTAAATAGAAATGGTAAACTGCGTTTGAAAACTAGCAGGGACTACATTTTTGGCGGAATGGTGGCGTATGAAAATATCTTCTTTTCTGCCTCTCAAAATTATTATAGAACATTGAATTTAGTTATAATTTTTACGCAATCAAAGACTAGATGAAATTTTCAAATGTAAGTTAAATTAATAATAAGGGACTAAAGTTTCAGAATATAGCAAATAAATAAGATTTTTCACACATACTAGAACTATCTTGGCTTTTAAATTCTTCAAATCTAAGTACAGATTTGAGTCAAAAATCCGTAAAAAGTGATATTTCTCTCTTAGTAAACGATCAAAACTTTTAGATTTTGTATCATTTTGTACCTTTATGTGACTTTACTATATGTAAAAATTGGAAAAAGTTAAATATAGGAAGCATATAAAAATAACTAATAAATCCTAAAAATTTAAGAAAAGTAGAGGAAATTCGGATTAGCAAATATTCGTTTTATTTAAATTATCTATGTCAATTTGGTAATATCGTCTTATATGGTAGTATCTTTTTATGCAAAAAGAAAAACATTCAATCTTTTGAATTACAAGTAGGGATCGCATGATTGGAGACAGTAATTTTTTACTCTTAATGTCCAGGAAAAGGTAATGACCTTGACCTGACCTGGCCTCTAATATTAAACGGTCAAATTTAATCTCACTGATACCATCACTTAGTTATATTGTCCTCTTGATTCTGTGAAAATTTCATTAATCTTTAAATACAAGAAATGTGAGAAGAATCCTACCTTAAGTCATTAATTTATTTGAGTGCATAATTTAAAGAAGACATCAGTCAGCATTTTGTTGAGCAAGAACACAAGAATTTATTATATTATTTCTGATTTGATATGAAGTAATAATCTTAAATGTTGAACAAGCTTAAGAAACAAGAATATCATATAATCAACAGTCTCGTTTAAAGTCATCATTTTCGTAAGTTTTATGGTCTATACAATGACCCTGTCAGCGAGTACAATTGATCAATGAGTCAGTATCCTAACTGACGTTTTTCTTATTATTAGGCCATTATTTACACACCGAATTGTCGATAGATTTTTCCGTTATTTCCCGAATGGCGATTATGACTAAGAGCACTGGGCAGGTGTGACCGTTTGGCAGTGGGATGCTCACTCCTCCATGGCACCTGATGTAGGTCCGTGCTTGCTCTGCTTCTATTCTATTTTGAATAAATAAATGGACTTTTCAGCTTGAATACTATTCATATATTATCTCCATAAATTTCATATATAAGGATCTTCAAATAAATGCAATGCATGATATCAAATGATTGCATCTATGAATTGACCTTAGCCGCATGAACAAACTGTTTATCAAGATACCAACTATTAAAATTGATGCAAAGCATCAAATCGGCCACAAACAATATAAGCAGTTCAAAAAGCGGTAATTTTACAATTCTTAAGAATTCTCAGTCACTAAAATTGTGAAATCACACCAGCATCGCGTAACGTCATTAGTTTCTGTGGTCAAACAAAAAATTGTTAATTATGTCACAGCCGCAATATATTTTACTCCATGAATTGAATAAACAACAACGGCTGGTGGGTTCTTTTGTATTTCTCTATTTCAATTACTTTTGATGATCAATATAATAAGAATAATAAGTAAAAAGGTGACCTGTAAAATAAATGAATACACTCATACACTAACACTCACACATTTAATTCGTTTAGGAGATTTCAACTGTTGTCTTTAATTAGATAATTAATTCATAAGGTATTTAACTTATTCAAAGCAACGGTGGTAAATTAATTCTTACCGAACAGAAAGGTTTAATTTGTCATTATTAAATGTTCAAAATGACTTTATGTATATGGAGAGGAGATTTACTCTTCCTTCCCTCCGACTGTCTTAGGGCCGGTGGAGTGAGTTATTAAGGGTGTTTGGCGCCAAGCATGCGTATTTGGTTCCAAAGTAGTAAAACCACTCACACATTTCTCACACTAAAATATCAACCAATCATACACCTTCAGGCCGCACCCATTCTGTCACAAACACCTTTGACATTTCACACTCCCAAACTAACCAATAGACATTCAACCCCATAAATATGAATGAGCAACTTCATGAATGAACTTTACACATAGTAAATTCCAGAGGACTGTAATTTACTATGCTGTATATGTGAAGATGATTATGATGATGGTAATGAAATAATTAGTATATTAGGTCACATATTATTAATAAATAAGTTATACAGTATTAATTATAATACAAATTTATTCACCCTGTGACATTCTCCCCCTCTTAGAGAAAAATGTCTCCCGACATTTCAAATATGAAACAATCAGTTAAATTAAAACAATAACGCCTAATACTTGACACTTGATCATTGTAAATGTCTTCTCCTGTAAACAAGATCTCTAATGCATTAGTAATATGAGTTGCAATGCTAATGATCAATCAAAAGAACAAGCATAATCCAAGTAAAATCAAATACACTATTCTGAAAAACAATACATGATAAGTATCATAAAATAAACTAAGTAACTACTCTAAGCTACTGCTAAATCTATTGTCATAAAACTACAATACACACTTACTGTATATTATTTTATATCATTAATAAAATTAATTTAGTAACTCTTCTAAGTAAATTACTAAATTCCAGATAATAAAACTATAATACATAAAGCCTCTCTTTCGACGCTTATGTCTAGAATGGCTGTGTTAAATCTAATATTTGTTTATGAAATGAAAATGTACACGGTGCAGTACTTTCGGTACTTTGATTTTGAATGCCTAGAACGTTCTAATGCATTACATCATAAAGGATAACCTGGATTTTGCCAGAATTTACTAGATTTTCTTATTTGCGTTGTTTTTAAAAATATTGTAAACAACTGCACAAGAAAATATAACTTTATTCGGACCATTTATACATTATATTGCACAGTTTTAAAGCTATCAAAATGACCGTTTTTGTCCGTAAAATATAATTCTGTATTCTTAAAACTTTACCGGAGAATCAGAGCGCATGCGTATTTGAGACACAGCATTGTCAAACTTACATCACACACGTGCTGGCAAGGGCAAAGAGAAGTTGAAGGCAAAGAAAGAAGCAGTCATGTTGCTATCACCAAGAATTACTTTCAGATGTTTGGAGCAGGGATGTAAAATGCAGAAAATGCGACATCTGCATACAAAGACATTCAAAAACCAGGTAACCTTGGCGTTTTTTAAGTTGCGTAATTGGGACTTCACATGGTCGGCACAAGATTTGTGTTAAACCTTGATAGTTTATTTCGTAAATTGTAGCCTTATATGAAACTTGTATTTGTGATAAATTGATAATTCTTTACGATAATTTCAAATAACATTGATATATTTGAGGTAGTTTGTTTCAAATGATGTTTCACATGATGTAATTAGCACTACTTTCATATTGTTAATTGACTACCAATGTGAACCCATCATTTACTGTTACTTTTCCTTTTACAAGCCAAAAGAACCATTGATCCCTCTGTTTTAAACTGTCAAAATACTGATGTTGTGTTTTGATGTCTTATTGCATCATGTTGCAAAAGCTTGTTAATGTTCTCAGTTAAAGATCTCTAAGAATTATGCAACCTAACTGTATATACCTTACATAAGAGCAGAATTTTAGATATAAAATCTTTGAGATTTACTTTTGAGAAAAAGTCTCTTGCATGCTTAAACCTATCTCATTCCAGTTATAGTTAAAAAAGGAACATTTAGGAATTTTCTTGGTTATCACATCTCTTTTATGTTGATCAACTCTAAATTTCAATTCACTTGGTGTCCTTATCATATGAAAATAAATTGATATTGATTTGGTCTTGTAGATACCCTTGCTTGCCCTAAATGGAAATCAGGCAGTGCAAAAAAGGAACAAGTGAGTACACACTTCTAACCAAAAGAAAAATTAAGTTGACAATGGTAAAAAATATTCAATATGTTAAACATGTCAATTACATAAGTGACAAAGTAAACATCTTTTGCTACTCAGTGACAGAACAAGTAAATGCCTACAAGTGAAATTAATCGGTTGTGAACAATAAATGATCCAATAAAACTAAAATCATATAATTTAATTTTGCTAAAAGTTCTGGAAAGGTGAAGGGTCAGGTCATAGGGATAGATCTGGGAACAACAAACTCCTGTGTAGCCGTGATGGAAGGAAAGACCCCCAAAGTTCTGGAGAATTCTGAGGGATCCAGGACCACTCCATCTGTCGTGGCCTTCACTAAAGACGGAGAGCGACTTGTGGGGATGCCTGCCAAACGTCAGGCCGTCACTAATGCAGATAACACATTCTCCGCCACCAAACGACTCATCGGGCGACGATTTGAGGACCCAGAGGTCCAGAAAGACATGTAAGCCTTGTATTTCAATTATTTTAATATTTACTGCAGAATTTTCTTAAGTTAGGAAGCCATTCTCTTCATTGCAAATATATAGTGAGATGTAAAATGAGGAGACAGTGCGTTTGTGAATGTTAATTTCTGTATTGTAGGAAGACCGCATCCTTCAAGATTGTGAAGGCAACTAATGGTGATGCTTGGGTAGAGGCTCATGGGAAGATGTACTCTCCAAGTCAGATTGGAGCCTTTGTTCTGATGAAGATGAAGGAAACTGCTGGTATGTTACCCGTGTGACTGTCTACTACTTTAGGATAAAGTAATCTGCCCTTGTCAAAGATGTTACCACATAACGTCTTTGGCAAGGGAAGATTACTTTGTAACCTTTTAGTTATGGATAGTAACAGTTATTTTGTTTGGTATCTTCTGTCCATTGTGGACATGCTATGGCAAGGTTTTATGCTTCTTAGTCTTGGAATGTACTAGTTTTCACTGATCACAGGAGTTGATGATGACCATTATTTGCTACTCTTGACAGTGTGGATGATGAATACTTTTCACCAATTAACTCTGAAACTCCTGAACAGTGAACAAATAATAGGTCTTGTTGTAAACGTGGATATTGTAACTTGTTGCTTGCCTAGATTTCAGCACAAATCTTTTGAATATGGTTTATGTCTTTGTTCTTTCATTGCTGGCTAATGTTTTTGATAGTTGGAAGTAACTTCTTTTGACAGGCATATTATGGGGTGGCATTTCTTGTCTATTTAGGGTTGTCCCCAAGACTCATGTCTTGTTATAATCCCTTGTTATCTGGGTATCCCCATAACTCCCTAAAAGGGGAAGAACTATAACTCTCCATCTACTTTTTTAAATGTTCCTTGTTATTTCAATTCTTGGGGTTAACCCTGCTATTGTTTTTTTCGTGTCCATATAAGTTTTGACAAATGTCCTAAAGAGTGCATCTTGATTATTATTAGGCTTAATTGTGTAATTGTAGCGACACCAAGGAGACAATTTAAGCAATTCAATTTACGAGAACCATTGATAAAAAGGTCCCAGGTGATAAGCTGGTAAAATACTAGGAAATATAAAGAGAATATAAGAGGTTAAAGTATGGAAGGGGCCCAAAATAGTGTCTTCCTTTGTGCTATATTAGTATTCTGATGACTTTTTAAAAACAAATAATTTTAATGAGCCAGAAGCTAGCCTCTGTTGAATACACTAGTTTTTACTGATCACAGGAGTTGATGATGACTGTTATTTGCTACTCTTGACAGCGTGGCTGATGAATACTTATCACCAATTAACTCTGAAACTCCTGAACAGTGAACAAATAATAGGTCTTGGGTATTCAGATCATATCGATTGCCAAATTCTCTCGTTTTATAGACACACCTATTGAGTAAGTTGTATTTTTTTTTTTTAAATCTCAGTGCTACCTAAAGTATATCATAACAGGGTTTGACACAAAGCTTTTGGAATACTAGATCAGTTGGGCTACTCTTGCAAATTTTTAATAGTCCTGACACTTTAGCCACTAGCCCTGACCAAACTTTAGAAGAAATATAAAAAGTACGAAGTAGTGATGATTATAGGATTAAACGTTCTTTTTTCAGAATTTATCGATGTGTAAACTCTGCCTTTTTACTCACAAACTGAATAAAAGTGCGAAGCACTTTTATGTAAAGTTTGTGAGTAAAAAGGCAGAGTTTACACATCGATAAATTCTGAAAAAAGAACGTTTAATTCTTATAATTCCAATTACGAATTTTTTAAATCATTAAAATTATTTCCCTTTGAGGCCGCCATACAATCCGTTATTTTGTACGGCGTAGGAATACTTTATGTCGCAAAGAAACGTATACAAGATGAATATCGATAAAATCCATTTTAAATTGTCAAAACAATCAATAAATAAGCTTAAAAAAACTCATTGAATGTTGTTTAAGTCAACAAATATCGTAAATACGCGTATTCTCCAGAATAATTCGTCCTTGACCATGGCCATGTTGACATTTTTAAAACAACAACGTCATAACGAAAGATGCAGACTGACGACGTCCTCGATTTGCTCTGGTTCGGTCAAAGATTTGGGGAGAATATGGGATCTGTAGGATGTAAACATATGAATTTGATGCTAAAAAGGCAAGAGTCTGAGGTACGTTTCTTTTCCCTATCACAACGATAGGCCTACCAGCTGAGCTGATATGGAACGTCGAGAAAATGACAGCATGATCAGGGATTTTTTAAAATTCACACTCGTGATCCGACAGCGACATAAACATAATATTCCCGTCTGTCAGTCCTGTTTATCTCCTTTTCATTCATTCATTCGATCATTCATTCATTCTTTCATTCATTTTTATTTCAAGTTTCTTGTAATCATAATTTAGCTAAAACGGACTACTTAAAGTAGTTCTAATTGAAGAATTCATCGATGTGTAAACTTTTTCTTGAATTTGTTTTCGTCCAATCAAAACACAGGGAATCAATAAATAAAATTAAGATTGGAATTATTTAAAAATAACCCTTTCATAATCTGTTGAATTGTATTGGTTTATCTTTTCCAATGTAATCCGTATTTAATTAACGACATTTTCCCGCATGTGTCAATATCAAAACTAGGTCATATACATGCGGCTGGTCGTGTTTAGTCCTAACTTAATCAACTTGTATTCAATATTAATATCAATACCATTAAAGAGAACATGCTGAAGAGAATTTAAAATGTTAAGTATGGTAAAAATATTAGTATAAATAAGTGGTTAATGTGAGTTCTGTGATGACTATTTGCTACTCTTGATGTGAAACTGATGTCAAACATCACCATGGAGACTGAGATCTCACGTGTTTCCAATGTATACAACTTCTATATCTGTTCTGTCATATCACAGATGACGATATCTACATTATGATATCACCTTGATGACCTTTATTGTAGATAATTACCTGGGTCAGAAGGTGAAGAACGCTGTGATCACCGTCCCCGCCTATTTCAATGACTCCCAGAGACAGGTATAGTCAAAACTATCAGTTCGAATCGAATTGTTTCGCAAAATTGGTCATAAAACAAACATTCATGCTAAGGAATACACAAGGCCAGATTTTGAAGGATTTTCTTTCTTGTTTTAATTTCAGGCCACAAAGGATGCTGGACAGATTGCGGGGCTGAACGTGCTAAGAGTTATTAATGAGCCCACCGCTGCTGCCCTGGCGTATGGAATGGACAAAAGCGACGATAAAATGTGAGTGACATTCTGCAAGGATCTATGTCGATAAAAGATAACAAGAAGAAGTATGAATCAATATGAGAATTAGATATTTACATAGCATATTTTAAATTTTTAATGAGCTTGATGTAATAAGTACTACTGTCTAATATGTACTATTTAGTTTCTCATAAAAGATGTTATTAATGATAATGAAACTTTTTGATACTTTTCTCATCATAAATTGTGTTGTTTTATGTATGAATACTATCCAGTGTCTCATATAAAATCTTTTCTTTTATTTCAGTATTGCGGTGTATGACTTAGGAGGTGGAACTTTTGATATCTCTATTCTGGAAATGCAGAGGGGAGTGTTTGAAGTGAAATCCACCAATGGAGATACGTTCCTTGGAGGAGAAGATTTCGACAATGCCTTGGTCACTTTCTTAGCCAGTGAATTTAAACGAGATGTAAGTAAATTTTATC